TCGTAACCAGACAGAATGAGATGAGGTAATCATACAGAGACGAAAAGAGAGGAGGGAGAAGAGACAAAGGAGAGGAAAATACAATGCCCACTCCTTCTTCGGGCTCCCTCCTCTACTACCACCTCAATAATCAATAGTCTGAACGAGTATCTGAAGTATCCTCAATGTGCCACATGGCACGTCTAATCAGTCCCACATCAGCACTGGAGCAATGTCGACATGAAGACAGCCAGGTACGTATCCACAAACTCTCCACGGTCCTGATCTCCTCCTGAAGTGACGATGAACAGAACGGCAATGCCGATCATGTAGTCCCAGCCATAGAACACGTGGCAGCAGCCACATCAGCGACAGCGCATGGCAGCTGCCACGTCAGCATGCCAAGAAGACAGGAGCAAGCCGGCCACCATGCCGGACTAGCAGCACCTCGCTAAGTCACAATGCCAGTGTCGCAGCGTCGAGCCAGCGTTGAAGTCAACGCGTGAAGTCAGCATCAACGCAAGACAGAATGAATGTCAAAGCCAGGAAGTCAGCGCTTATGTAGCGTTGACGCCAGGTCTGGACCCCGGTTGCTGCCTCCCTCAATCGTCCAGATCTCAATGCAAACGAGGGCCCAGATTGGTCTGAAACCGAATTCTCTCCTGCCTGGATGCTGTCTGGTTACCTGCGCACAACAAGTGAGTGTATCCAACCAAGGGCCTGGGTGCGGTACCTTTGACTCTACAGTTGACTTTGACCCTTGAATTTCCTGTGTGTAGTGTTCGGTCACACAGCCATTCACGACAGACTCAGGCCTGGGCGTGTCTTGGTCACACAGCCCAGGGCAGACCATCTTAGATCTGCGTGGCCTGGGGCTGAGTTCTGGGCCCCAGGCTACTTCTGAACAGGGTTATTACAGTGATTATTTACTGTTTATTTTGTGTGCATTTGTGGGTGTTTTTTGTTTTTTTTTGTTTTGACAATTTGTAAAAGTACTTAGAATAAACAATGGTGGACTCCCTGTGATGCACATAGGTTTTTAATGGCTGTAATATGCTGTATTGTAATGCTCATGAAGTTTATGATTCATCTATCCATTGATATAATCCACGCAATTAATCAACCCAGGCACTCCATCCACCATCCCTACCCATACATCGGTTGATGAGGCCACTTGAACTGATTCCCGTTATGTGCTAGGCGATCTTGTGGTACAAGCCTCACTGACACATGCTTCTTCCAATCCTTTCTTTGGGCTGGTGAACAAGAAACATGTATGTTCGTTTCTATTGCATTCTGGTTACCATGTGCTCGTGAGGCAGTTCTCTCATATGACTAATGATGCCGTGTTTTGGTTTTGTTAAGCGTATGGGCACTGGATCTATACATAAATTGTCTTGTTATCTATCAATGAAAGTAAAAGAGAAATGAAAAACTATGCGTGAGCACCTTTGAGGCTATGTAGCTGGCGTGAACTTCAACGTCACTGTCACTTGAGTGTTTGTTTGGTGTCTCTGAATGCACACATGCACGACTCCCCTCTGTGTGTGTGTGTGTGTGTGTGTGTGTGTTTGTTCCTTTTCTTTTTAAAACCTTTCTCTTCCCACCCACTCATCTGTCCACCCATCGACATCCCCCTGCAGTATCACCACCACAAACACCAACTCCTGAAGCCCAATACCCTCCGACCGCCTCCATTTGTTTGGCTTGGCCTTTTGTTTGACATTTTTGCATGTATTTGATTTATGGCCTTCTGTTGACCAGGTACTTAGGGCACTGCTTAGCGTATGCAGCAGTTGCATCAGTTCTGCTTGCAGCTAGTGTTGCAAAATGGTATCCAATTGTCAGTGCTGCGGAGGGCCGCGTGAAAGAGCTGGCCAGCACAGTGGATGCTTTGAGAAGCCAGTTCTGGCAGAAGGTTCAGGGACAGACGATGACAAAAAGCATGTTCTCAGGCTCGCTGACTAATCGGGGGATGACTCATAGCTACTGCATGGGGAGTGAGGTGGGGAGGCAGTTGAGGGCAGAATTGGATGAACGTGTAGGATATGGACAGCGAGCGGAAGCTGAAGATGGTCCAGGAGAGTTGTCATTTAGCGGTCTTCAAGGTGTCATGAACAGGGAAGGAGGGTATGTTTTTGATAAAGGTAAGGCGAGAGGGCAAGCAGGTGCTGCAGGAAGAAGCGGGTCTTATCGCCATCAGTCTGGAGAAGGCCAAGAAGGGGGGGGAGGGAGGGCAAGCGGTAGGCAGGCATCCACAGTAGAGAATCCAGCTGCTGCACGATTTAGGCGAATGGTTGCTGGTGGAGGATGCCTGCGAGGGAAGGCTGCAGTGGATGAGTCATTGGGGGGTCCCAGTTGGTGCGATGCACATTGGTCGATTCGGCTTGTCTTTGGCACACCCCAAGGTGTCTGGGCTATCTTCTCTCTGTTGTTTGTGGTGGAGACGGTTGTGGTGGAGACGGTTCTTGTTACAAGGCAAGACACTAAGGATCAGGTACATCATCTGTGCCCTTCTAGAAATCTACACAGGCCAGCAGCAAACAACTTAAGTCAATGATCTGCTGTCATCGCTTCTTTTATCTCGATGTTTTGGTGTTTGTGCATTCTGCCAGCTAACCCCCTGGCATAGTTGGATGAAGGTAATGCGTCTACAGTCTGCAGAATAGCCTTTTGTCAGTGTTGACTGTAATGCGCTGACTAAAGGATGGAACACCCATGAAAGGGATTTGGATATAGAGCAGAAGAAACGGGTCTCGATCAGCAAAAAACACTCGGAGAGCAAACAGTGAGTTGGGTGTGTTCAAGCACTTGGAGCACAAACAGTGAGCTGGGTGTTTTCAACCATGTGTTGCATTTCCACCCACAAAACTGACAGCTCACTTTGCTTTTGTGTGGCTGGTTTGATTTGATTTTGCAGGACGCAATAGTTATGAAGTACGGTGTTGCTGCGCTGTTGCTTGCGCCAATTGTTGCATCAATTGTTGCTTATCTCCGCAGTCTCAGAGCTTGCAGATGGAAGCTTACCAAGAAACCTCTGATTGTGAGTTGATTAAACCTGAAATGTTATCTTGCCTGAGAAGATTCACGTACATGGATTTGCTCTGGTTCACTCCCTCGTCCAGCTCTCCTTCTTTCCTTCCTCTTCCTGCATTTCCCCCAGGTCACTTCCTTTCTGCTCCTTGTCTTACTCCTACCCATTTCCTCCCTTCGTTCCTCATTCTCTTGCTTGTTCTCACAAATCCCCTTTTCAGTTTGTCCCAATCTGCATCCTTCCCACTACCGTTGTTCTTTGACTTCATCTTTGTCATGCTTGTGTTTGTCTTTCCTTTTCACCGCCTTCATCTTGTCTCTGTCTTCTTCTCAGCCTCTGTTTTTCTCTTGGTGTTGGGCTGTAGCGGACCTCTGGTTGGCCTGTGAGGCCAGTCCCTTGGCCTGTTCTCACAGGCCTGTGTTGTATTTGGGGTAGTCCAGTCCAGGCCGGCACCTCTGTCGGTACCAGCCAGTCCAAGCCGGCACCTCTGTCGGTACCAGCCAGTCCAGTCCAGCCCAGTCAGTCCGCTGGGGTATACCCCAGCCAGAGTCTGTACTTTGGGTCATTCTACATTCGCACAGTTTGGAGTACGTGCGCTGGAGTCTGCATGGGAGCTGTGCTTTGCCATCTTGCTCCACCCTCATCCTCCATCTCCATCTCTATCCCAGGCGGAGCACCTCACCCGGTGGGTCCGCCACACTGGTATCAGAGTTGGAACGTTCCCCTCTCCCACCCGCCACACCACACAGTGGGGAAACTGTGCAAAACCCGATCGGGGGGGGGGGTTGCTGTTTTCAGCGGAAAAAAGTGCCGAACGTGTGGCAGCGAAGGAGTGACATGTGGCGAGAAAAGAGAGACGGTGTTCACTCCGCGTCCGCGCGAGGGGCAAGGCCAAGGCCACCGCACACGCACCACATGCCCACGCTGCCCTGCCCTGCTCCCGAATTACTTATATCAAGGTCCGGGATGCATGCTGCTGTCAGGGTTTAAACCTGGGCGGCCGCTGGCCATGCGCGTGCGTAGCTGCTGCCATAACACACTGGCCATACTTTGTGTATGGCTTAGTAGTGTGGCACACTGGTGTTGAAGAAGTGCTGTGCCAGCTATTTACCCCCCCGCCCCCCCCCACACCCCCCC